AAACAGACATTCCGTCCGAGTGGGACTCATTCAAAAATTCGAGGGGGTTCGCTAGAAAACAGGGGGTTCGCTAGAAAAGGGAGGTTCGCCCGAACCATAAAAACCCCCCCTGGCTACGGGCCTGTTTCAGGACATTTTCAGCATTGCAAAACTTTCCATAATTTATCCACCGTACGCTCATTTTTACGCACGCAGCACGTACTGAAGCTGGAAATTACAGTTTGTTACATTTTTTTGGTTCCTGACAAAGTATTCATATAAAAGTTAACTTTGTGTGCCATTAACATGCGCACAGGCGTCAAGACGTCCGCGTACGCAAGCGTAAATCTTTTAAAATGTTTCAAATTACACTTAAAAAAAAAATCTAACTAGAGAATATTTTAGGCCATTTTGAAAATTTAAAAACATTTCAATCTGCACCGCTCGCGCTTCCTGTGGGTCGAAGTGCGGCGGATCACCAAACTCGTCCTCAGTGACGAGTTCAAATCTAGTTTCTAGTTAAATTCATTTCCATACTTTATTACATTTATTTTTTTGAGCACCTTAATTGAGACGGTTTCAATCATGTAAAGCGTTATACAAACCCATTACCATTGCATTCGAATTTATGATCTAATGACAATGAGAAATAAAACATAGCCTACTAAACTTACGTTATACCGAAACGTCGATTGTTTAAATACTTACACCGGGCCCTAGTACAGATGACGCTTGCATCCTCCATATGACCGCAATCGTGTATTCGACGTCCGTTGTTGGGGCAACTGGTGATTTCCCTCTCAGTTCCTGTGCATCTGACTTCGTCGTACATTATCTGTCCAGATCCTTGTCCAAAAAAAGCTGACGTAGGAGCCGCGCTGGCTCCTGAAAAACCTAGCTGTCTGCAGACAACTCGAGCGTCAGTTATGTCCCACGAGCCATCACATATTGTACCCCACACTCCACCCACCTTTACTTCAACTCGCCCTTCGTTATTACTACTTCCACCGACAAGTCTTATATTTGAGGTACATTGCGAAAAAAAAAAATCTCTTGAATTTTGAGTCGTCTCACGTTTCACTTAGAACACATTTGCAATGATATTCCCATGATAATTTTTATAATTCACTCTACCCATATCAGTCCGATCATGGAGGTAACCTCCATGGTCAGATATAGGTGTCTATTATTCTTAGCAATCTCCTTGAAGGCTCCATTTCCATTATTTCTACCATCCAGACCCGAAACAATATGGGCAGCCATTAGGGTCAACATTGAAAACTCAACAAACAAAGGACAAACTCAGCAAACAAAGGACAAAATCAACAAAGGACAATCTCAGCTAAAAAGGACAATCTCAGCAAAAAAGGAAAATCTCAGCAAACAAAGGACAAACTCAACAAATAAAGAATTAAACTCAGCAAATAAATGACAAACTCAACCAATAAAAAAACAAAGTATGCACGGCGGAAGTGATAGAAATTTAAATTCTTAAAACTTTTGGCCGCCGGTGGGAACATGGAGTTGCTAGATACAACCACTTTAGCCTGGGTTACATAGGCCTAAGTCGGACTATGAGACCTAGTCAATGCCCAGTCCAGCTACCCGGTAGCACTGTAGCATAGGCCTCATTTTCTTTCAAGTTAAGCTATGCCTATACAGAATATGACCTCCTTGTCCGACCATATTTTGAAAGTTCGACGTGAAATTTCAATTGTTAATTGTTGCCGTGAATTTTGAAAGTGTGCCATGGGTTTTAAAGTGTGCAGTGAATGTTAAAAGTGTGCCGTGTTTTTTAAAAGTGTGCGGTGAATTTTGAAAGTACAATGCCATGACTTTTTAAAGTGTGCCGTGTGGTTTCGAAAGTTGTTGCCGTGACATTTATGGGCCATCGTAGTATTACAAAGTGCGACAGTACAACGTCGACAAGAAACCAGCCTTATGCCTTTACCTGGAATCAAACAGGCTTCATTGGTGATTCTGACGTCATCTATAGCAATGTCACCTGAGTAACCACTTCCTCTAATTCCTTCAAACATTATCGAATAGATACCGAATTTTGCAAATGAGACTTTTCCAAGTAGCCAACTACTTCCTTGGTTGTCTTTTTTAGTCCACACAGGTGTACCAACAGTATCCGTAGAATCGACCACGTACACATTTAATGTGTTCACTGTGCGCCCGTACATGTGGTAGAACCACTTGATGCACAGGCCGTTCGTTGCAGAATATTGCGGTGTCCAAAGACGAGCGGTGTCATTGGTACTGCGACCTGAAGTTTCGATGTACAAGTAGTATCCTGTAAGTAAATGAAAGTATAATGGCTAATTCTTATGATGATTCAATTAATTAATTAATTATGTTTTCTAGAGAATGTCAACCAGATTGACATAAGACTTAAGGCCCTGTCCAGACTATCAAATTTCTTCAAACGGTTGTATGCACACATATAATCATGATGTGGCTATGTATGGTCATGACCATATTTAGGCATGTCACATGTTTTTGTCAAATAAAATGTGACAGAGTTTACTTTATTTTCAAACCATATTTTTCTATTTTAAATAATATAAATTAATTTGATCGCTTTTTGTTACCTTCTGAATTTGCGTATGTGTGGTCAAATGAAGGACCCGTATTAAATGAAGGTGTTGATCCATTTTTTCTTGTCCAATCAAAGTCGTCTGTTTTGTCTTGTACAAAGTTACAAATACTTGGATCTTCAAAATCGCATTCAGAAAAAGCTGAAGCATCGCCTAGAGCTGGTGTTCATTAAATAATTCACAATAAATTAAATACGTGAATGTACAATATGCCTACTAACCTCAAGACAAAATTTATTTTCTCGGTGATCCTGAAAAAACCTTTTAATCAATATAAGTTCTCTGAGAAACAGTAATTAGCAAATTATATATATTGTAAGCAAAATTATATAACTAATACATATGATGTGTCAAAACAGCCTGTATTACTCTACTATAAGGCCTACACATGTATTTTAAGTTCCAAAGCAAACATAAAACAAAATCGATATTTACATATTACCTTAACATCGTATCTATTACGTAAATTTCTTTACTTACCACCAAGTGTTTGTAATCATATAATGTTATGATAGTACCGATATCAAAATCTAACCACCCCACCCAAAAAGAATTTTATGTCAAATTTTTATAATTTTCTTATTTCAAGGCCATGAAATATTATAATACTTGCGAATGAGCTAAAATGACATTAATTTCCAAAAATATTATATTTTAGGCATGAAAATGTACTTAAATATATATCATTTTACTTTTGAATATCGGGTTTGTTTTATTTTTTATTTTTATTTTTTTGTATAACTGTAATTTTCACGAAAATACATGGAAAATACTATGTATTATCAAGGCCATATAATTTTTTAATTCATTCAATACATTCTGCCAAATGAGCAGTATTGAAAGAATTATATCTGTCTCTTATACACATCTAGATGTGTATAAGAGACAGAGCTGCTATCCCTCCCGATCTTGTCCATTGCAGACACAAGGTTTCAATTCATTGGGGACTAGAATATATACCAACATAATTACCATAGTTGAGGCTGATGCGAGTAAATTTATAAAATATGGCATCTCTGGATTCCGGAAATAGCAGGTGGTAAAACCCGTAGTCATTAGTCATTTATTGGCAGAAAAGAGAGACTGGGTAAATGGTAAGTGGGTAAAATAGAATCCGTCACTCTCCCCCATACCTCTCTCTCTCTCTCTCTCTCTCTCTCTCTCTCTCCGTCCCTCTCTCCCCTATGTCGATCATTTGATATTCTTCTATTACGTTATGTGTGTTCAATCAACTAGCAATCTAAGATAGAACCCTGTAATGATGTTGGTATTTGGTAGTACTTTTTCTGAATTATGATTTTCTGATATTTTTTAAAAGATAAAAAAATACACCAACGTTACCACCAGGAAATAACAGAAGTACAAGGAATTTTTACGATAGCAACACGGGAAGTTGAGCGGGTACTCACTAGGTCAACAGTTTTACCACAAACAAGTTCCAATACTTCCTTTTGTGTTGGCAGAAAAGGAAGTTAAAGCGAATAGCATGACTAAACACGATATGAAATGTCAAAGGTTTAACGGATCTGTTACTACACGCAAAGCACAAACAGAGAATAGGTAACACAATGACTTAGAATTACAGTATATACAATATGTTTATTAAGCAAAGACATAGATTTAATAAAAAGATGATGGTCAAACAATCAAATTAATAAAGAGTTCAAGAACATACAGATTGAGCCTAAAGCAACATTTATTAATTAATAATTAATTGATTAATTATTAGTTTTAATATTTTTCATTACTTTTTACAAAATTTTCTCACCTTTTTGTTTCTATATTGTACAGCTTATATTACTTTACAAACATTGTTTCCTCCTGCTAAAGTTTTAGTTTTCTAGATGTTTGGAAATGCACTTTCCTCATTCATTCATTCTTTATTCAGCCAATGAAATAACACACAATACAATGGCAGGAAATTTAACAAAAACTAAGACAATAACCAAAGTTGGCTAGGATTAACTATAGTTTCAAAAACACTCTGGCTCTCAGGCCTGTTAGTCCGGTCTTAGGACTAACATTATGACACATTACTAACATTACTGCATTATGACACGTCTAATGAATGAATACACTCCGAATTAATAGTTTTCCTTCTTTTTACTAATGAACATTATTAATGATGTTGATGAATATAATAAGGAGGAGGAGGAGGAGGAGGAGGAGGAGGAGGAGGCAGCGTAGCTAAGTGATGACAGGCCAAATAACCGGGCCCTTTGATCAACCGATAAAATATGTAATAGGACTGCGAAGAAGTAGTTCGACCAAAGCTGTTGGGCCTGTGCGTTTGCAGAAATCCAGTTTTCCGAATGTCAATTTATACACACAATAATATAATTTTATATTATTTAAATTTACTATACATTTGAAAGGCACCTATTAAAATGTACTAAATTAATCTTAAAACTACTATTAGTTATTATTATTATTTTATGCGCCACTGGAGCACTGCAGCTGTATCATCAATATGATGATGTGAGGTGGACACGAACTAGGACCTATCATTTATATAGAGAATAAAGAGAATCATATATTTTTGCTAAAATTGGGTAAGCATCCGATAATATACGGCTCCGCCACTGGGTCTACATTCGGCAAACTTAGTTTCGGCAAATAGGGTTTCATAATTTTTTAGTTAAAAAAATGGAATTTTGAAAATTGGGTTTTGGTAAAATGGATTTAGCAATCTGGGGTTCGGCAAACTGAATTTCAGCAAACTGGTAAGATAAGAATCGAATTTTGCGTTAACATTCACTCAATTACTAACTACTTGACAAAAAGAATTATTAAAAGCTGCAATATTAAGGAATTCCAATTTAACCATAATTTTATGATCTAGTGTTATTTAATCATTCACTATGAAATATACCTGCCCAAAACGTTCAGTGTGTAGGCCATTCACATGCACTGTGAATGTTAGTGATCATTTACGCACGCTGTTTGCACTAACTTTGCCTGCATATATGTATATACAGGAAACCTATTTCTTTGTTTCCATTATAAATAGCAAATTACGAAAACTATAAAATTATGTTTTTTGCCCCAAAAAACAAGGTTTTTGATTATTTTTTGCTCATTGTATTTTTTGGAGAAAATGCTCATTACAGCTAATAGAAATAAATAGAGTTACGCAATTTTCCTGATTTTGTTGAAAATGTTTTACAAAAACTGGCACTTTTAAAGTAAAATTAAAGTAAAATTTATGCATAAAGTATAATAATTAAAAAGCAAATATTTGTGTGTGACTTATTAATGTTACTTTAGCTCATTTGCCAATATTGAAGGTTTCAAAACATTTAATGGGCTTGAAAATAAAAAAAATAATTTTGGCAAATGAACTAGACTAGTTTGGGCCCTACCTAAGCTGGTCCAACGTTTCGTTTGGGTCTATACCCTAGCTGCACTGATGAGGCCTGAAAGGCCGAAACGGATCCGTCTGTAGATATTGGGATTCCTTCCAGTGGATGCTTAGTTTATTTTGTCATTCTGATCGGATTTTCAGGTATATATCTATGTATATATGTATGTGTATATATATATATATATATATATAAGAAAATATTAGGTTAGTGATTTATACAATGTTCATTCTAAATGTGGTTCTTGAAAATATTTTAATTGGATTATTTTTTGTTCCTTGTATTTTTTGGAGAAAACGCTCATTACAGCTAATAGAAATAATAGAGTTACGCAATTTTCCTGATTTTGTTGAAAATGTTTTACAAAAACCGGCACTTTTAAAGTAAAATTAAAGTAAAGTTTATGCATAAAGTATAATAATTAAAAAGCAAATATTTGTGTGTGACTTATTAATGTTACTTTAGCTCATTTGCAAATATTGAAGGTTTCAAAACATTTAATGGGCTTGAAAATTTAAAAAAATACTAAAAATTATTTATTTTGACCTAAAAACATTGGTAATAATCATTTATCTTATCGGCCTTCTTTCCGAGAAAACATTACAGCTCATAGAAACTATGAGACAAAATTCAACTCTCTCCACAGATACTTCCAGAGTTACGGAATTCCTAATAAATCAATTTTCATGCATAACTTATTAGAATAAAAAATATATATTTTCTGTAATTCATTATTGTCATTTTAGCTCTCATTTGCCACCATTGAAAAAGTCGAAACATTCCGAATAATTTTATTATAATCCTACCAAAGATGGGTTTATTAATTTGTTAAAACAGAAATAAAAGTGTCGAATTTAGTCACATATTTTTAATGCATTTTTGCACATTTACGATTGCGGTGTTCACAAATATGTAATTAACAAAACAAGACCATAATAGCATACCTTTCATTGAAAAACCAGCTAGTAAAAGCAATACAACCAAATGATCAGTTAACATTTCCATGTTAGAGAGCTTAATTTATCATCTGACTGTTGAAAAGGTGCGAAGCAGGATTTAAATGTCGATGAAGAAGTAAGTCTCTTAAAAAAAAACATACGTAGATGTGCCTATTGTCATGCTTTTTTTGGTGCAGGAAAATATGTGTTATATTCTATAATGACCAGGAAATAAGTGCATATTCAATGCCAAGGGAGCAAATATGTTAAAAAAAAGATTTGTAGTACGTGAGGGCTGTTTCCGTATTCTTGACTCCGCCCCATCAACTCATCATCTTAAAATCAATGAGGCATTGAATATTCAATAGGAACAGCCCTCAACAAACAACTCCACCATGTTAATTTAACTTTGTCATTCTGTCGTCACTTCATTCCGTTTTCCGTTTTTACATCTGTTTTATTCCTGTAGATTGACGTGTCACAAACTTCACTCCGTAAAAATAAGATTGCCTATATAGAATATCTGTACACTGATGGGGACAGTAGGATCTGACGTCGAAACATGTATGTAGCGTATAAGGTCTGCAGTTGGCCTTAATTATTATAAATAATAGTTTTCAAAAGTTTCGTCATATTTTTGAATTTTATTATTAATGACAGTAATCTATAT